TGTCACTCCTTGTGATTTACATCATGTGATTTCACCCATACATATTTAATTATGCAAATTAGCCAGGCCGGTATGTTTTTCCAAGAAAGGTGGCAACCCTAACTACTTTTCACATACTCTTACTTAAGTATGGAAACTTAAGAGGGATGTATGGGAACAAAACTTGTGTGGACTGGCTGACAATGGTTATAGTTAAAGGGACACTAGAGTCACCAGAACAACTACAGCTTATTGAATTTGCTCTGGTGAGTAGAATCATTACCGTCAGGCTTTTTACTGTAAACACTGTCTTTTCAGAGAAAATGCAGTCTTTACATTACAGCCTAGATGTTAGATGTAGTGGATTCTGTAACTGGCCACTCCTTAGATGTCTGTTAGAGATCCTTCCTGGGTCATGGCTGCCTAAAATGCATCCAAACATTCAGTGTCTCCTCCCTTTGCATGCAGACACTGAACTTTCCACATAGAGATTCATTGATTCAATTCAGCTCTATGAGGAGATGCTGATTGGCCAGGGCTGTGTTTGAATCATGCTTTGTCAGTCTCAGCCAATCCTATGGGGAAGCACTGTGATTGGATTAGGCCACCACTTCTAATGATGTCAGCTTATTTTTCTGAGTCTAACAGCATGCAGATTTACAGCTTCAGGCTTGAATACAGTAAGATTTTGCTATATTTATGGAGGCATGAGGGGCCAGGGGGGCTTGATGGTGGTGTTAACACTATAGGGTCATGAATTCATGTTTGTGTTCCTGACCCTATAGTGATCCTTTAAGGTAATGCTGACTTTGGTCTCTCTAACACTGTGGCATGTTCCCTTTCTTCTACACTCACTACATACAGTTTTTCTCTGTCCCAGAGTATATACCAGGAGCTTCTGCCTGCTAGTAAGAAGGTAAGGAGACAAGTGGACCAGCGAGTGCTAGGGGACAGTCCTTAGAAAGCGTTGAGCGAGCGCATCATTAGATGCATTTATGCCAAGCTCAGGGTGATGTCTGCATCGTATGCCCTTAGTTGGCCAGCTGCATGATTGGCAGGCAGCCTGACATGCATTCATACCAGGCTGGCCTTCTAATTCTTTGAGCAGACATATCCTCTTTTTGGGCATGTTCGCCCCTTCTGGCAGGTTACGAGATTTGTGTCAGTGGCACACCCTTTTACCGTGCCCATTGACTTCCTGCTTGACTGGACACTGCTGTTAGGGGTTATGGATTTACTTGAAAGATGAAAACATAAATTAGTGAGAGAATAGCCTAGGGTATGTGTTTTCTTATAGCTGCTGTTTTCTTTCTCTCCAGCACCATTTCCATCAGATACATGACGCTTGGGAGTGTTTTACTGTTTTTGGTCGATATGATTCTGTAATTAGGCCCATCATAATTGTCAGCACCAGGCCCACTGTGCTCTTAATCTGGCCCTGCCCCTGCCTCTACCAACTCCACTACATCTAACTGACCCTCTAGCCACCCCCAAATGCCCCTAAGCTCCCCATATTACCTATTTTTTTAAACTTAATTTTTTGCTCCGACCTATATTCAGGGCGCCACCATCTTTATGTGGGTAGATGAAGTCCCTGTGGGACACGTCATCTGCCCACACTAGAAAGCACTAGTTAAACACTTGGGCATGTGAACGGGAATTTCATCTATTCATTCATTCGTCAGAAAGTCGAATGAATGAATGTAAATGTCAGACGAACAAACAAACACTGAATATCGGTGTTCGTTTGTTCGTTCAGTTTATTACAAGGAGGGAGCTACTGGCGCGCAGCACCCTCCTTGTAATATGTAAAGATAGAAGCGGCAGGGAGCTGTGCTCCCCTCCACTTCCTAAGCCCCCCATGTCCTCCCTCACTCTATGGTGTTCAATATGACCCCCATAATAGCAAAAGGGAGATTAAAATCTCCTGAATGCCCCTACACGCTATACTGCGAGTAGGGGCATGTCTACTTAACAATGAGCAGCCTGTGGCTGCTCACTGTTAAAAAACCCAAAACAAAACCCTAGTACCCCCCCCCCACCCCCCACCCCTGAGCGGTGGGTGGGGGCCCTAAATAACAATAAGGGGGGACATACTGTCCTCCCCCTGGCCCCCACCCCCAAGCAGAGGGTGGGGGGGGCGCTAAATAACAATAAGGGGGGTAACCTACTGTCCTCCCCTGTACCCCCCACCCCTGAGTGGCGGGAGGGGTCCCTAAATGTAAATGCCCCCCCCCAAGGTTACTAGGGGTCCCCAAACCCCTAGTCACCCCCCCAACCAAATAAAAAAAAAATCCCTTACCTACCCCCCTCACCCTAAAAATAGTGAGGGGGGAATAAAATAACTAACTACCTGTAAAAAATATAAAACTTACCATTTGATGCCACAGGCTGCTCACTGTTTAATAGACATGCACCTACTCGCGATATAGCGAGTAGGGGCAGCATTTACTAATACTAAGGATTCTTTACTTAGTATTAGTAAATGTGGCTGAAAGACCAATTTAGGTCTTTCAGTCTTTTGGTAGATAGCTCCCCAATACCGTGGGAATTAGAGAGCTATCTACTAAGCGGCAGGAATAGGATCGGAGCTTCATTCATTAGAATGAAATTCCAATCCGAATAAAGTCCCGAATTGCATCCTAACACAAATGGAGAAACTGTTCTCATTCTGTTAGGATGCAATTCGGCGGTTTTACTGGCATCCTGTCTAAATGACAGGACATTCGGCAATACTGACAGGATGCATTGCCGAAACAGGGAGGGAAGCTTAGAATTGTGGGATCATTTCTCTGACCACCGGAAATGAAGCACACTTTGCTCCTCCTCTGGTCAGAGTTTGTCAGGCGTAGGAAACCTCCATAAGACAAATAGTCCCTACTTTGTCTTATGTTTTAAAGAAAACTAGAGCAGACAGGAAGAAATGAAGAACAGATCCTGAGAGAGGGAGAGAAGAGGAATCAATTAAAGAAAGGTAAGTCTGGCATGATAGTGCTGCTTTAAGGAACAATCCAATACCATAAATAAATAAAATAATATTTATTTTTTTATTTTTTAAAACAACCAATAGACAGGAGCAAGACAGCCACTAAAAGCTCTTCCTTGCATCAACTGAGTTTCACTCAAATGCAGCTCGTGGAGAAGCAACTGGAAAAAAAAAAGCATTTGAATTGACTTGCAAGTGGTACTCACGCATTTCATACTGAAAGCTCAATAAGGGGCATTGGATTGGAAAGTCATTGAGGAAGCAATGCCACCAGGATGACATTGTGGGAGGAATAGCGGGCAGCAGCACCAAGTGAGCCTTGGCGCAAGAATAAAGGTCAGTAAAACCTTTTTTCTTGACTTTTTACAGACCTTGTCTTCCATATATTTCTTTGATGGCAGATGTTCTTTAAAGTTCTTAAAAAATCGCTGATGCGTGCCATCTATAGAGTATGTCTCAATATAATTAATTCATCTATATTCTTTCAATTTTTTAAGTATTCCATTGTGTCACTTTAACATGCATACATGTCAAAGATGTCTTTGGAACTTTTCTTGGAAAATGTAAATACAAGGTAATGTCACAGAGAACAGAAGAAGTCACTAGTATGGTGTCATACATTGATCTGTTGGGGACAGAGTTTAAGATCCTTGATCTAGGCATTCAGCAAAATTGAACCAATACGTAATAATTAGCCACCAATATCGGTTTTCAATAAGGGTCTGGACTCCTGTTATGCAAACCTAGGAAATTTTGCTAATTCCAAACTCCAAAAGGCAATGTTTAATTTCATGTATGCCTGGATGTAATTCTTAGTTTAATCTGTGCTTATGTATACCGCCAACATTATTATAAGCAATTTCCCTGTGCTGCTAATTTACATCGCAGTGTATTGTCTAATCTCTTATATTTCACTGTTACATTTTATATACCACGTCATTATATGAACCTGATCTGATGTTTATTAGATGATATATATTATACCTCACCTTCTTTTCTCACCCTGTGCCTCTTTCACATTTTAATCTACAACAAACATGTCTTCCACATAACCATAAGAAAAAGTAAACGTGTATAGCTATTCAGTTAGTCTAATTAATTTTTTGTGGGCATGTTTATGTCAAGTAAAATTAAAAGAATATATATTTTTTTTTATAAAAATCGGTATTTTTGCATCTTAATGCAGTGTCATTTCTGTGAACAAAGTGTAATTTGCAGAGCTTACCATATAGCTTTCCATTTGACTTTCCCTACGTCTATCCTCTACACACTGATTAAACCACATTTTTAGAATAGCTTTCGGAATCATTCTACAGAATGGATAGCTGTGGAGCCATGTCTGTGACCTGAAAGTTAATTCCACATAAGCTTGAGGATCTCTGGTGGAACTCGGTCTATTTTAGATTGGTAAACTTCTGTCACCCAAAGTGACCTCCTTCCCACAAGTTGCCCTGTCTGAATGCGCAGCAGATGACAAATCTGGATGCGACCGCCTAAAGGTGTAACGTCTGCTGGAGAATAACAAAGAATACCTCCTTGCATCACTTTTAGCAGACATATGAGAAATGTCATTCTTTAACCTACAAGTTTTAAGAGATTGAAGGATCACATTTTGTGGAGAGCAGCTAAATGACTGCAGAGTTGAGAAACCTCAAAGAATATATATTCTACTGCTTGTCTATCACACAGCAGAGAGAGAATATTCGATTTAAACTTTATCAAAAATGAGTTAAACTTTAAATATATTTAATGTTTTTTCCCCCTCATGTTAAGGTGATATTTCTAAAGGTTTTGAGATATTTTTATTTTAAGGAATTGAGATAGGATTTAAAGGACCACTCTAGGCACCCAGACCACTTCAGCTTAATGAAGTGGTCTGGGTGCCAGGTCCTTCTAGGGTTAACCCATTTTTTTATATAATTTTTTTTTTATATGTTTATTAATGGGTTAAGCCTTCCCCCTAATCCTCTAGTGGCTGTCTCATTGACAGCCACTAGAGGCGCTTGCGTGCTTCTCACTGTGATTTTCACAGTGAGAGCACGCCAGCGTCCATAGGAAAGCATTATGAATGCTTTCCTATGTGACCGGATGAATGCGCGCGCAGCTCTTGCCGCGCGTGCGCATTCAGCCAACGGGGCGGAACGGAGGAGGAGAGAAGGAGGAGAGCTCTCCGCCCAGCGCTGGAAAAAGGTAAGTTTTTTCCCCTTTCCCCCTTCCAGAGCCGGGCGGGAGGGGGTCCCTGAGGGTGGGGGCACCCTAAGGGCACTATAGTGCCAGGAAAAAGAGTATGTTTTCCTGGCACTATAGTGGTCCTTTAACTTGAAAAATGTCCCCCTCAATCAAATCCAGCATTTATGCTGTTTGAAATCTTAGCTTTTCAGCCACCTACAATAAATGGTTTTGCAAAATTTTTGGAAGAGACAAATTCAAAGTTTTCATAACGTTTCAAATATTATAACATTATTCAATTAAAATAAGTCAAAGGAACACTGTAGCATGCACGTATTGTATATAGTGTACTAGTAATGACCAACTCTCCCCCAAATTATATAAAATAAGCAATATACTTACCTTATTTCCCTTGGCGTGCTGGACCCCTGGACCGTCGTCCTGCCTGGGTCATCAATCCTGATGGTTTCAGCCAATCCAATGGTTTTCTTATAGGGATGGATATGGAGGCTAGTGAGCATGTGTAGCAAATCACTGCGCAGCGATAGCCAGCATATCCTCATCGAGAATACAGTGTCTCAATGCAGAGCCTGGAGACGCTGAAGGTAGTTCCTGTAATCTTTGCCGGATCGATCCCATGAAGTCATTCAAGTGAAGTCACTTGGACAGCTAATTGAGGTTGACTTAGGCAGCAAAGTACTCGCTGCTGTTTCTCAGAAAAGATAGTGTTTACACCTCTTGGCTTGCAGGGACAGGCTCTAGAGACCAGAAACACTACATTAAGCTGTAGTGGTTCTGGTGACTATAGGGTCCCTTAAAAAAAAAAAAAAATAATAACACAATGATTTTGACAGAAATGTTCTGCATCAAACAAAATTCCCACAGTTATCTCAAGTTATTGCTTTGCATATGTCTAATGCACTGTTCAGAAGCAAAGTGATTGCCATTTTCTCCTGTGCTTTATTGTCTAATATGTTTTCAACAAAATAACAGAACCAAATAAGAAACATATATTGGTTTTCTGTGTGCCATATAAGAAAATCAGCAAATGGGTTCCTTAAATAGGTATAAGAAAATGTAACTCGGATGTCATGGGAAAGGGAGCTAATGCATTTGAGCCCATATCACGCAAAGCAACATTTAGGTCAGTATAGATGAATAACGGGGGAAAAGCTATGTTTCTATACTGGCTATATAGATCATAATTTCAATATAGTTTAACTCACCACAATTAAAAGAACACTCCAAGCACCATCAATACAACAGGGAGTGCCCTGTCCTACACTTCTTGTGAAGCCATTTTAGAATGGTGTGGCGTCTTCCCACCTGCATTATTTCTGCTAGAATCTCCTAATCAGGACTTTCCATCAGCTCCCCTGAGCTAAGTCATGCAGTGTGGGACACTATCATTGGCTGATAGCATATAAAATGGAATAACTACGTACAATGGAGGGGTGCACGGACACTCTCCTGGCACCATAACCACTATAGTGCACTGTAGTGGGTATGTGCTGGTAGTGTTCCTTTAAATGTTTAATAATCCAAACAGATTGGTGTAACGTCATCTTTTCAGAGTTGGAAGCAATAAGAGTAGACGGGCCAAACCAATGCTTCTCTTAGAGGAGCATTGGGAATTGTAGGCGCATGCGTGGCTTGACTCAATGATTCTCTATGGCTGACTGTGACAGCACTGCGCATGCGTACGTGGTATCACTATATGTTACAGTATGAGAGTTGGGAAGTTAGATTCCTGGCTTTCATACTCAGATGGCTTTGAGACATGGCTTAAAACTGCACTTCCAAGCCTTCTATGTAGTTTAATATAGACATCTGAGGGTATAGATAGGGTGGCCAGCACTGAAGGCACTACAACAACTTCAACATGATGAATTTGTTAAAGTGCCTACAGTGTTGCTTTAAAGGGATGAGAACATTTCCCATATTAGGATTCATCATCCAGCCTCTCACCCCCTAATGTGTTGCCATGACTGTGCCAATAATTCTGCCCACGGAGGACAGCAATCGGTCCTCCACCACTTCCACTTAGTACTCAACCTTCATTAGTTGAACTGTGCTGAACTACTCTCCTTCACAAATTTCACTCACATTGAGTAGGAGTCTTGGGGTCAAACCATAGCACCAGTGAACATATTTTAGTGTATGCCAATTATGGTCTGTTGTAGAAAAAATAGGAATAAAATGAGTCACATATAAAATCTCACTTGGAAATTCTATCACAAGTGAAAATGTAACACAGGCAATAGAACTGAGTGTGTAGATTACTTCCTTCAGGACTGCAAGACAGCAGCTAAGATTTACTGGAGATTGGACTCTCTGGGGCTCACTCAATATACGGTGAATTGCACATAGTGATAACTGAGATAGGAATTGCAAATACTAATTAAAAAAAAACCACCCAATTTGGAGAATTGTATCAGTGGGCTATTTTGGCCAAGAATCTGAAATTGAAAGGGTTACATTTCACAGTATGAATGGAGAGAAAATAACTGTGTGGAGCAAATCCTTGGCAGGGAAGAAGTTAATCTGGCAGTGATCATACTGTGCCACCTCTTTGTGACCTTACCTTAAGTGGTCGGCACTGTATGCGTGTTATGATTAATGTCTAACAAATTAAATAAGGGTATGGCGACTGAATGAGCGGCATAACTCTGAAAAGTATACCCTCTTGCCAAATGCTCGGTTGTGCTCTGCTGAAAACACCGCAGCTGTTGCTATTTCATTGCAGACAGCTCTGCTTTACCGATGCTCTTTTTTTAACCATTTAAGTACAGAGAAATGTGTGCTGCATTGGTACAAATAAAAAAAATGTTAATTCACAACCATTAGCAAAGCATAGGGAAAAAGACCCGTATTACTCAGACATTCATACACAAAATCACATACATACATGCATTTATTGTGTAAACACAAAACTGCCATCATCATCTGAATTAGTAATAAAATAACAGATAAGACGCTTTAAAATTTTTAGAATATTTTTTGACAAAATATAGATACAAACTAAGATGTACCTATATGTAACAATATATTAATAACAGAAACACAATAATTAACGCCCTTCACCAAAAAGAAATATTTTTGTGTAACAAATGTTAGCTTGGAATTTGTTTGAAACATGGGGTGCATAAGTAGCACGTATATGTAGGATAAAACTATTTGTGTTGTAGATTTTTATTTTAAAGTTTCCAATAAATAAATAAATACATAAATAAAACCTCCTCTATTTTTTCATCTTTTTCAGAAATATTGGGGATAACAGTTTCAGAGTCTATATATTATTGCTCTATCTGCATATTCATGGAGACAGGAGCACCATTTGTCTTACATACAGTACGTTTGTCAAAAATTGATAAGTATAAAGAGTCAAATAGCCAGTTTGTGGGTGTTGTTAATAAAACCTAATGTCATTTATGGTAATGAAGCAGTCTAAAAACGCTTAAACTTTCTAAAACAATTTGTAAAATACTATCAACATATGGTCATAATGACCACTTACAGCTATACCAAGCATCTGTACAAAAGACATTGCTAGCTTAGGCTTTTATTGCATCCTGTACAGACACTCTGTAGTGTGCTTGGTATTCTCAGTTATATAGCCATGACATTTGTCCTGCAGAATTTGCTTCAATGTGTTGTGGAAAGGAGGGGCTGCCATGTATAGACCCTCTTCAGAGATGCAGATCCAGAACTGAGTCCTGATAGAAAAATAATTTCGCTGGGCATCCCCCGGCCCTTTTTAGGGAAGTAGGTATCTAGATGGTTAAATTGTTTTATTGGGATCAGAGGTGATATAGTATTAATACTAATAGTCTAACTATCCATAATATTCTCATTCTTATTAGGCTGATGGACTTGAGGAACCTATATTATTGTATTACCTATTTTTCTATTATGCCCTATGAAGATGTTTTCTTTTGGATGGAAACATTTTTTTGTGGTGCATGTCTGAGAAGCACAGTAACTTATATTTTGTTATATAGCAATATTGTCAATTTTGTCAAGACAGTTTTACAATTTGGGGTCCTATCAATGAAAAAAATGGGTCCCCATGACATGTCACACATTTTGAAATCTGCCCATCAGTTGACTTCTTTCAAGCAGAAGGAGGGGCAGGGCACCGTGACCATACACAGAGTGTTTCAGCTGCTCTCTGTAAATGGTCTGCCTTGAGGGAGGGGATGTCAGTCAGTGTCACTAGCTACTTTAGGGGTGATCCTGCACATATTGCTAAAAGACCTACTTTTTTGATGGGTGCCTCTATGCAGCCTGCTCTCTTGACTTTGACCTTTGTTGCCGAAGGAGGGGAGGTAAAATTGTCAGGTGGGATTTTGGGGTAACTTTGCCACAAATACATTTTTGAGGCCCTTGCACTCTAGAAAGTCAACCTAGTTCTTGGAATGGAAGGGGTTAACAAAGTATCAAGTGGACATTTTTTTAAAAATAAAAACACATCTAAATTTATACATTTAATTATATTCCTTAGAGACCAATAGGGCACATAGGAAATAAAATTGAAATGTACCTGTGGTATTTTATTATGAAATCTGGTTTTGCATGAACCACATTGTTTGTAAAACTTATCATCTTAATGGTTCTCAACAGGAAACCATACTTCAATTAAATTAACCTGCATAATCATTATTATGAGTATTGCATCTTGAACAATGATTGATCGAAATTAGTTTGATGCACCAAAATGTGAGCAGAAAATGTGCATATTAGAAAATCTTTTTCAAGTTTCACAAGATAAATTGGAAAACCTTAAGTGGTCAGCATGTTACATTGCGAAGAAAGGTCTAAAGTGATGATTAAACCCTTGAATTACATTTCCCATGATGCTCAGGGAATGTTCCAACATGTGTAGTTGCCAAGGGTTTCCATTACTGGGTGGGATCTACTGTTGAAATACCACTCCAAGCACCATAATCACTACAGTATACTGTAGTGGTTATGGTTCCACGAGTACCCTGGCACCCTTCAAGTGTAAGTAGTCAAACTGTCTAGGAATGGTTTGACAACTTACTTGGTGTCTGTCAGGAACTAATCACTCCTCCAGTACAATGTCCCAAAATGCAAAAAAACACACATTTTGGATATTAAATGAAGAGAATTGGATGGTATTATGTTTATTACCATTTATATAGTGCCAACATATTCATTAGTGCTTGGAATGTGACATTTAGACTAAGAAATAAATGACAAATGCGTTACTAAGACCTGATTAGACCTTTTTTTTATAATCTAGAGGAAGTGGTGGAATAAGAAGACAATCATTACAGTGGAACAGAGATTAGCATGAATAACTACTGTATCTGATTAAGTATATAAAATATGTGAAGTATGCAGGAAAGGTATAGTGTGAAATGTGGGTGGAACCACACTTTATTTAAGGAGTGATGGTGCAAGCTGGTATAAAGAGAATATTACCCAGAAAGATGCTAAGCTTTCTCAAAGAGATGAGTTTTGAGAAACTTTTAAAAGTCTGGGGGCTAGGGAAAGTCTGATAGAATGAGATGGACATTTCACAGTAAAATGACTTATTCATACTGGGTTGAATGGGCTTGTAGGATATTTTTCCTTATGTCACTGTGATATCTGTAAAACAGTTTTTTGCATTGCAGTCGCATTGTCTACCCGGCAACCTCCGGTTATAGAAAACGTGCATAGTTGCCAACTGTCCAATATTTTGCTGAGTCTGCCCCAGTTTTAGATCAACTGTCCCAGCAAAAACAGGTTTTACAAAAAGGTGTGCTGTTTGTTCAAATGGGCAAGAGAGAGGAACTTGGAAACAAAATGGATTGGCAGGTACACTACCTAAAATGTTTAATGGCGGAAGATATAAGCATCATGTGCAAATGTTTTGGGACACAGCCCTTTCTCAACTGGGGGTATTGTACACTGAGAAAGGACTGTACTAGTATACCTACAAATCTATTCTGTGGCCTCTCCTCTGTCGGAAAACAGGTCTGTGCCCTACTTCTCCAACTCTGTGCAAGGAAAACTACATTTTCAGTTTACTGAAGGCAGAAAAAAAGAAAACCTTTTTTTTTTTTTTTTTTGCAAAAGTGACAAAGCTCCACACTCATTGATTAAGCCAGCTCAGGCATTTGAGACAAGTATGTAACTTGACAGGCTGGCCCTTACCCTTTCAGCCAGGAGGTAATCAATATGGTTCCCAGAAGATACTGAAAGAGAGAGATTATACAAAAAGAAAACTAAGATATAATTATCTAATGATTGTGCTATAACATTGATATGAAGATACACAGAGATCAAAGAAATCTGTTCTCTCCGAGCATCATTTTACATTCAAAATGGCCGCACCGTGTAGTTTGAAGTAGCGATAGGATTTAACTCTTTGCAGCTGCTAGGTTTTTCTGGTGATCCCAGTTAGCAATCTCCATTACATGTTTTTTTGTCAGCTACTATGTTAGCTACTTCATCACAAGAAGTATTTCAAAGGAAGCCAGTGGATGAGCACTTAACTTTGTTTACAATAGTTACTTTTTCATAATTAGCAAGATGTCACATCAACATTGGAGTCTATGGCCTATTGTTCCGAAGAGGAAGGTTATAGCAAACTATTGAGATTTATTTCATTCTATACCGTACAGTTTATTTAATTCTCCACCTGTACACTTCTCATTCATTATACACCTTTATATATCGTTCCATTCTTCACCTGTACAGTTTGCTTCATTCTACACCTCTATACTTCTTTTCCATTCTACACCCTTATATATTGTTCCATTCTTCACCTGTATATACTTTGTTTCATTCTACACCTGTACAATTTGGCTTATTCTACACCTGTACAGTTTTCTTTATAGGCTCCATAAAGCAAGGTAGGAGTTGAAATAGGGATATATATCCTACTCTTCTGCCTAAAACCATACTACAATGTAAAAAAAAATTCTGATTGTTTTTCTTATTGTTATTGATTTATACATTAAGACAAAGTTCTTCCCCCTTTCCATAAACCATCCTTGGTTTGTACATCTCATGTTATTATAGGCCATGCGGAAATTTTGAAAGGAAACCAGTGGTAAGCAGATTCTAGCACAGATAACACAATCCATCTCTCTATAAAACAAATTAACATAAATTAACCTGTATTTACTTATAGCATACTTACATTCTGCAAGACGCTCTTAATTCTCTTTTGCTAGCTAAGTGCTGGGTTTAAAAAGATTAATTATTTTTTTTTTTAAATGATAAAAGCAGCATTTTTTTTTCCCCATAAACCTATCTGTAGTTGTTCTTCTGATGTTGAATCTAAAGCGGCTGGTGTTTAACTTAGATCTCCTTGGCACCCTTCTGTTTCTTCTTAATGAAGATAAAATCTAATACATTTTAAAACTTTCCTATCCCTTTTCAGACTGCTACTGAAGCCCACAGTACAGCACACATGCTGAATCTTTATTGAATAGCTTATTTCACTTTAGGAATGAGAAACAACTAGGTTCCTATCAGCATACAAATTATGCAAAATTAGCGCTTTTCTATTTTATAATTTGCTTCTTTTACTATGCATCTGAGAATCTGAAAAGAATCTGAAAAGACCTCTTCTTAACATTACAGTTTAAAACTTGTTTAACATCAAATTAATTTTAACTCAGCAGCAAGAGTATATCTATATATTTTAAACCAATTTATCCTTTTTAGAATCCCATTTAACACAATACCATGTTTTAGAAACATATGTCTATTAACAAATAACTGATAGGCTAGACTATATATGTAAATGTACCCTCAACTATTACATACACTGTACTTAATACTCCAAGATTTATGTCAAAACTGTGAAAATAAAATAAATATTGGAACTTGAAAATAAATCTCAAATTTGAGATTTTTTTCCTTGTATTCTGTTTATTGACTTAACCCTGATAACTGGTCAAAAAGCTATCTTTTCTATATATATATATATATATATATATATATATATACACAGTGTATCAATATTGGTCGGGACCACATGTAAATCAACAATGGTCAAAAGGTATTATTATTATTATTATTATGATATTTATATAGCGCCATCAAATTCCGCAGCGCTTTACAATGTCTTATGTCCTATAGGTATCGTCAGATTTGTACATCCACCAAGGATTTGTAAATCCACTACTTATTGGCCACTCCCTGTTAAAAAGCTCAGTAATTAAAACCCATAAAATTATTGTTGCATTGGAACTTCCTCTCTTTTGATAGAAACACATTCATATTTCTCCAGATCGCCTTGATTACTCCATATGTTCACCTTGTCTTTCCAAAGGAACATGCTGATTTTCCTTTTCCAGACCATATGGGTTCTAGATAGACAGATCAAACCGCCCAAAACTCAGAACCCCCTCTATGAACCTATAAATAGAAAAAATTAAACAGAGCGCCTGCTGGGCTTTTTAATGAAAATAGATGTATTTTTTTTCCCTATGGTGACAATTCAGTCTTTGTGAAGACTCTATAACTAGGCATACATTCCTTTAGGCTTTTTTTCTACCGAGTAGGAGTGCAGTGAAACCAAAACACTAAACTGGCTAATTCCATATTCCCCAACCACTGTTTAAGCATTGCCTGTCATTCACCTCTGGCAGATCATGGCCTTCTGCCTAGAGCAGTTGCAGTCAAATATCGACTGATGGCTGCGGCTATCAGTTTTTTTTACTTTATTTCGGATTATATAAAAACCTCTAATTGATGCTCTTTACCTTGATTTTATATTGTTTATTTTGTTAATTTCAAATTACCACTTTAAGCTCATAACGAAGCTCCTACATGTTTACACATACAGTGTGACATTAATATACTGTCAGCAAGCCACCCAAGTATACGTGACATGATGGTTGTACTGCCTGCCAGCCAACTGTCAAAGGGACTGTGTGCATGTATTAAACATGAAACAATGCTGTTCAACATGTTGGTGCTTTGAAAGTAAAATTAATAGTAATAATAATAAATATTAATTTTATGCCAATGCATGTTATAGATTTATATTTTTTTTCAGGATTTTGCAAACATTTTATACTGCTTGGGTATGCAGGACCACAGAGTATAGGTCTCACATAAGAGTTTTCCTCTGACAATGGGGACGTGTATTTGGACCGGTAGGTGGGCAATAGGTGGACAACTATTGTGTTACAGTTGTGGATTCCAGAATGTTCAAACATTTTATTATTCATTTTATAAGATGTTCTTGCCTACAAAATAATTCCAGGACACTTTTCGTTGTATATGACACTGGAGTAACTTGAGGGGAAAAAAAGATCGCTCATATAGAAAAATAACACAACACGTAGTAATGTCGCTTGAGATTTTTTTTCATAACTAATGAGTGACAGATCTATTCTCTTTTTCGCATGGTTACCATAATTGTCTAAATCCCGTAACAGTTCATTACAGAGATGTCAGGAGAGACACATTTTTCATCTTTCAATATCATATTCATAAAGAAAACCTCAAGACTCCAGAAAACAGATTTGCAGGAACTTTCTGAGTATCCATCATTATTCAACGTACCGGTATTTCTTTCAAACTGGAGAATAGGCTATATGGAGAGATTTTAGTGGGGTATTTTTTTTGTTCTGATAATAGTCTTCATAAATCTGTACTATCAATAACTATAGTGATTTGAAGACATTTGAAAAATCTTCATAATTTCAAGTCTCTAACCTTTCCAAAGCTAAATGGCAGAAGCAAAGTACTCTCGAGCTCCTTCTAAATTAAAGAGAACTGTCTAGTAGTTTTAGTGCAAATGGAAGAAATGTTTTGCAATATTATTTGTGATGCACCAGTGCTTTACAATGAGCTAGAGAGCACTTGACCATGAATATATATCAACATACCAAATAGTTGCCGAACTTTGAAAATACAAATCGATAATTTATCTTGAGGTCTAGCTCTGTTAGGTATCGTTGAGTCAATAATAACAGAAAATATTCTCAGCTGATTCCAGCTTTGTACATGACTAGGATGCATTTTGTATGCTGACACAGGATTATCCTGCATTATTGAATCTGAGGTTTGAGATTTGGTGGTGTGATATTGTTTTGTCCATTGCTCTTGGATCATGATGGAGCTAAACAGAGTCATTGGCCTCAGCAGAAGACAATGAGGTGCAATGCCCTCAATCTGTGGTAGATAGGCTGATTGTCAGAATAGGTGCTTCAAATTGCTGTCTTTCTTTCCTAAGCAGTTTCCCCTCTGTTTCAATTTCCCACCCCGTCGTCCCTCTATTTCAGTAGAACTTCACAGCAATACACGTTGTAGTATAATTTCACGCACTGCCAATTTAATCTGTAGTAAACAAGTTTAGAATTGTTATATGATGATATAAAATATTAATCAATGTAAATGATCTAAATTATTTACATAAATGGCTACCCGTTGACAATGAACTTCATGGAACGTTCACTGTGCCCTACTGAGCCACACCTTTAGTCATACCACTTAAAACTCACATGTTCCTATTTGGCTAGTTAAAATGGTATGACAAATGTATTTGTCAAGTTAGTAGATGGTTACATATATTTGTTAAAGTCTGGGACATAATGACACAGAGGGATATTGAGAAAGTTAGACAGACCAAAAGAGTTTCAAGGGACACTATAGGAACCTAGACCACAACATCTCAAAGGGTTGGCAATGTTCACATTGCAGGTGTTTAACCCCTTAACCCCTTAAGACCACAGCCAAATGTACAAGTTGTGATCAAAACAAAACGTAAACAAAACCTGGCATTTGCGCTATATGTCTGTCCAACCGTAATTCACCTCTTTCATATTAAATGCACCCATACTTATTATATGTCATTTTATTCAGGGGAAACAGGGCTTTCATTTAATATCAAATATTTAGGTATGGAACATAATTTAATATGAATAAAATGTAAAACAAATGGGAGAAAATAAGATTTTTTTTAAATGTTCTTAGTTCTACGTGACATATGGCAGCCCAGGAATAAGAATTACCTCCATGATGGCATACCATTTGCAAAAGAAGACAACCCATGGCATACCATTTCCAGTTTTTTTTAGTAGCCACTTGGTCACAAACACTGGCCAAAGTTAGTGTTAAAGGGACACTATAGTCACCTGAACAACTTTAGCTTAATGAAGCAGTTTTGGTGTATAGAACATGCCCCTGCAGCCTCACTGTTCAATCCTCTGCCATTTAGGAGTTAAATCCCTTTGTTTATGAACCCTAGTCACACCTCCCTGCATGTGACTTGCACAGCCTTCCATTAACACTTCCTGTAAAGAGAGCCCTATTTAGGCTTTCTTTATTTCAAGTTCTGTTTAATTAAGATTTTCTCATCCCCTGCTATGTTAATAGCTTGCTAGACCCTGCAAGAGCCTCCTGTATATGATTAAAGTTCAATTTAGAGATTGAGATACAATTATTTAAGGTAAATTACATCTGTTTGAAAGTGAAACCAGTTTTTTTTTCCATGCAGGCTCTGCCAATCATAGCCAGGGGAGGTGTGGCTAGGGCTGCATAAACAGAAACAAAGTGATTTAACTCCAAAATGACAGTGAATTGAGAGTGAAATTGCAGGGGAATGATCTATCCACTAAAACTGCTTTATTTAACTAAAGTAATTTAGGTGACTATAGTGTTCCTTTAATATTTGAAAATGCAAAAAACTAATTTGAACGCCAACTTTGGCCAGTGTTTGTGACTAAGTGGCTACTAAAAAAGACTGAACATACCCCATTTGCAATTCCTGCGCTAAACCTGGCGAATTTTAATGTGAAAAAACTGAAATGCAAGCCTTATATTTGACGCTGTAACTTTTGAAAACACTATAAAGCCTGTACATGAGGGGTACTGTAATGCTCGGGAGACTTCACTCAACACAAATATTAATGTTTCAAAACAGTAAAACGTATCACAACAATTATATCGTCAGTGTAAGTGCCATTTGTGTGTGAAAAATGTAATAAGTGTCATTGTCACTGACGATATCGTCGTTGTAATACATTTTACTGTTTCGAAACACTAATATTTGTGTTCAGCGAAGTCTTCCGAGTAAAACCCTATGTACAGGTTTTATGGTGTCTTGGAAAGTTACAGCGTTAAATATAGTGCTAGCAATTAAATTCCCTGAACTTTCGGCCTGGGTTGTCAGGCAGGTCCTGCAAATTATAATTAATAAAATGACCTAATTATGTAAAATTATTACATAAATATATATGTAGAATTATATATATATATATATATATATATATATATATATATGTGTTTATATATGTATATAATTTTTTAAAATTATTTTTATTTATATATAGGTATATATATAGTGATATATATATTATTTTGTTTTACATGTATTTTGATATCAATATATATATATATATATATATATATATAAATTTTAAAATACAGTTAGAACAAAATTACACATGTATATATATTTTTTTATTTATTTTTTAATTTTTTTAATTTTATTTTTTAACGCATTTAAATATTTATTTATTTTTTATTATATATAAATATATATATAATGAAAATGATATATATATATATATATTTAATCAATATCATTGTACGTGTATTTTGATATTAATATATATAATTATGTATATATTAATATTAAAAAAAACCTAGACAGTGTATGTGTATGTGTATGTGTGTATATATACTTAGATCATATATATAATATGATCTAAGTATATATTATTTATTTTTACACTGTTTTAACATGTTTTATTTCCAGACTGCAGGGGGAGTACCTGTCATTACAGGCACTCCCCCTGCTGGCAATGCCTTGGACGGCTATGCCGTCCATGTGCTCGCGAGGTCCTTGCAAGGACCTTGCGATCACATGGCCCAGGGGGGGCCGAAGAGGACGGAGGGGGACTCCCTGGGCTCCCAGGTGAGTCCCCATAACGCAATCGCCGGCGTGGGATCACCGGTGACCGGGTAAGTAAATAAGATCGCAGGGCCTTCTATGCCGCCCTGCTGCGTTTAGAGCCATCAAAATAGGGACGGCATAGAACGCCCTGCTGTCTTAAGGGGTTAAATGCCTCTAGTGACTGTCACTATGACAGCCACTACAGATGCTTCTGCAAACATAGCCCAGCCAAACCTGGCTATTTCTATTAGATGGTCTCGTAGAGGTGCACGAACAGTAGCCTCTCCGTGCTTTCATATGGGAAAGCATTAGATTGGTTGAGAACATCGAGCTCTATGATCTCAGCCAAAGAGGCAGGGCCAGACACAGGAGAGCAGTGTTATATGGGAGAAAAGGTAAGTAAACAGTTTTTTTTTTTACTTGTTGTGGGGGGGGGGGGGGGGCGATGAGCTGGTCACCTCAATGGTGTCTAGGATACTATAGGGTTAGAGTTGTACGCATTTGTATTCCTAAGACTATAGTGCTCACATAAGAAGAGTTTATAGCAGATACAGGCTGTTATATAAAATAGAATTAATGTTGTGTGTTGTGGAAGACAGTTATTGCTAGTGTTACTGAGAGCCAGGATGTTAAATTGTTTTATCTTTGATTTCTCTGGTTCTTTTCAGGGTGTGTGTCCCCTGTAGTAGGAGCAATCGGAAACATGGCAAATGATTCGCTTCACAGCATTAACACCTCTCCCTTGGTGAATACTTGTTGCTATGGAGATGAAACAACTCAGTTGTCTTTCCTTCAGCAGCTTAAAAACATCACATCTTTCTCTGTATTGTTTTAGTTTTCTAGGGATGCATAACTCCCATATGTCACTCTTAAAGGGATTATCTGCTGCGCCAAATAGGAAAAATAAATAAAAAACACTGTTTAGTATTATACTCCAACTTAAAACATGCGTGTATTAATTATGCATTTTTTTCTCTTGTCTGCAGTCTTTCCAATCTTTCCCTTCTAACCCCGCCCAGACATACTGTGGCTGTCCAATCACAGACTTCCCAATGCTGCTCAATAAGACGTCTTTGTAAGGTGCTCTGAGCAATTACTGGATTTCGAGTTTACCTCCACTGAGCTAACCAAACCAGGAAGTAACAGGACCAATTGTATGATTGAAAGTCCACGAGGGAAGGAAACTTGGAATTTTTGCAGAAGGAAAAAAGAGGACACACTATTCACATATAAAGCACTTCATCAATGTAAAGTGCTTTAGGAGTTTGCAGTGTCTCTTTAAAGGGTTATTATAACCCTTTTGAGAAGGGGCCTTACTGGTTAAATATGCCTTATTGGATACTGTAGAGAAGGTACCCCTCTTCATTTGAAAAAAAAAAAAGTTTTACTTACCTGGAATCCAGCACCAGGTACGTTTACGTTGGTATGATTAAGAACATTTTAGATGTACATTTTTGTTGCACACACCTATAGAAAATGGTGAGTTAGATACCACGAACCATGTGGGCAATGGGAATCGTGATACAAGTCATATCATTCTCCACTGACCTCTCCATGTGAGTGTTGTTCTTTAACCTAGAAAACTGCAGCTCGCTGGATATATTTTATATTTATTGCAACATGGACTGTAGAGTATGAAAATCTCAGTAGGTCAGTAAATGCTGGGAATACCATGCCTGGCTGTAATCCATATACTATGGCCAAAGTTGCTTTGGTCATATACTTTCAGCAATTTTAATGTTTCTTTAAGCTATAAGTCTTGACCATCTATGTATGCTTTATTGAGTTGCAGTCCTTTGGTTAGCTGCGTGGCTGCATTAACTTAAAGGTGTGCCTAAACAATACCTACTGATACCCGCCTTGCTCATACAACAAAGCAACACAAACTCTAAAAAACAAAATTGAAATTAAAGTTTATTGCTTTGTTCAAGTGTACCAATGTAAACAGCATGGCTCCCCTTTTATGTTATTACTCGTGTATAGTTGCAGTATTTTATACATACATACTGGTATCCTAAAGTATATACCATGGATTTAAATGCCCTATAAATGTGATCTAACCATACACAAGAGCTCATACTAAGGAAAAAAAGACTCTCTTATCTTAATGTTCACTAACCTAAAATTGATTGAGGCTAATTAGCAGAATGCTTCTTCAGGGACTGACTTCCCTAACAGATTGGAGAAGTGTAATTGAGAACGCTCCAAGTCAAAGCTGAAATCTCCTGAAAATTAGCAAGTATCAGTTTCTTCAGCAACATGCTGTTACGTACCACATTATTATTATGTACAGCAGAATCGGGTCACTACTCTTTAGATAAGAGTGATGAACAAAATGTTAATTATCTGCTAATGTGATTATCAGGTGTTGATTTAAAGCTATGGTCATGATTATAGGGTTCTTGACATCAAAGATGACATGTAGATGTATATTGTCTTTTTAGCTATACGTGTTCTTATTTACTAAAAGCTATGACATTAGATTTTCTGTGTCCTCAGTTATCTGATGTTATGGTAAGCACATTGCCCCTCTAAGCCTGTTCAGAAGCAACTAGGGTGCGTGGAATGTTAATTGTAATGGTTATAATGCATTTTTCAACCTAGATTTCCATGGTACTATGACAGTGCACTTCCATCATACCAATTCATATTGATGAAAGATCAGCGTTATTAGGGTAACACCTACAACAGAATTACATTTGGAGATACTAGGACTTTACAAGCCAATAGTCAAATGTATCCTCTAGAATGTAAGCTCATTGAGCAGGGCCCGCCACCCCCTCTGTTCCTGTACGTCCAGTTGTCTGGTTACAATTACATGTCTGTTAGTCCACCCATTGCACAGCGCTACGAAGTCTGATGGTGCTATATAAATAATAAAATAAAAATAATAATTTAGTTCTATTAGCATGGGGCTAGATACAAGAAGTCACATGGTCTGAGCATCTCTCACAGTCCTTGACTAGTTCCAGCCTATTCCCAATATTCCATGCTTTTTGCAAGTCTATATACTAAAAAACCTTTCAATTCTTATCATGCTTTTTATCGTCAGAACATCAAAATCTTATCATTTACACAGCTTTTGAGTTAATGAAACTAAAATAATTATAGCAATGGCGCCATAAATTCTTATGTACGTTAACATTCATAATTACCTCTTCAGAATCTGCTCATTAGGTTTTTTGTTTAACCTTTTTAGCACAATTCTCCATGCAGTTATCTTGATATAAGTTTGTGAGGCAAATTTAGTCCATCCTGCCCTATTTTGGTTTCTTCCACTGTACTTACATAACAAATACTTGTAATGGGAAAGATAAACTACAGAAATATCTTATTGCAAATTACTTACTCAAGTGAGTTAGAACAAGATGTTAATCGTTTAAATTAAAGTAAATGTAAAGCAAATATAAAGGACTGGGCTGTAATAAAGAGCAGATTATTAGCCACTTGCAGTTCGAAATGCTCTGGATATAAACACCTCGGAACATCTAAGCCATATCACATTTGTGTGTGTTGTGCAATGTCCTTTGTCAATCCATCTAATGTAAGCAGTTAGTTTAACAAGTACAGACAGCATCTAAATGTTTCTGTTAATAGAAGCAGTTAATGTTTAGTGCTATCAAAGGGGATAAGGAGAAACTGAAAGAGATGATGCGTGTGGCAGCTGGACATATAATGACATGCAGTAGAGGAAATGGGAAGGCAAATGATCTACAGGAAAGGGAATAGGAAGAATAATGATAGGTAGGAGATGAACTAGTAATTCAAATAGATTATCGTATCAGAAATGGAAAGGATAATAGAGTGCCACACATAGGCGTGCGCAGCCTATTGCATTAGGGTGTGCACCCTAAAGCACAAACACGTCGCGTGTATATGTATTTATGTATGTATGTATATATATATGTATATATATATATATATATACACACACACATACATAGCTCTGTGTGTGTGTGTGTGTGCTGCTAGTGTGCTGTGTGTGTAAGGGTGCTGTGTGTGTGGGTGCTGTGTGTGAGGGTGCTGTTAGTGTGATGTGTGTATGAGGGTGCTGGTAGTGTGCGTGTTTGTGAGGGTGTTGTGTGTGAGGGTGCTGTTTCTGTGCTGTGTGTGTGTGAGGGTGCTGTTTGTGTGTGTGTGTGTGTGTGTGTGTGTTTGTTAGGGTCCTGTTAGTGTGCTGTGTGTGTGTAGGTGCTGTATGTATGAGGGTGCTGTATGTGTGTAGGTGCTGTGTGTATGTGGGTGTTGTGTGTGTGTGGGTGCTGTATGTGTGTGCTGTATGTGTGTGTGTGCTGTATGTATGAGGGTGCTGTATGTGTGGGTGTTGTGTGTGTGTGTGTGTGGGTGCTGTATGTGTGTAGGTACTGTATGTTTGGGTGATTGTGGGGGTGGAGGTGGGGGTAGATTACTTAATATCCCTCCTCCCTTCTTACCTTATGTAGGGAGGGGGATCCTTGTTCCTGCTGCCATCCCTGGTGGTCCAGTGGAGAGTGCGGGCTAGAGCTCCCCGGGTCCTCTCCTGCCTCCCTCCATGCTGCAGTGGGCCGGTGGGGAGGGAGGCTTAGAGTAGAGCCAGCACTCGAATAGCGCCGGCTCAGCATGAGCCAACAGGGGAGATCCTGAGGTCTCCCCTGCCGGTCTCAATCCATAGGCGTGCCGCGGGGATTAGGGTGTGCCCAGGCACACCCAGCACACCCCGTGCTCACGCCTATGGTGCCACAAGAGAGATAGGAGTGATAATGGAATGTGGAAGAGGAAATAGAACAGATATTTACATGTAAAGAAGTAGAAATGTAAAGGAGATGTGTCGTGGTGTAAATAGAAAGACATGATATGTAGGATCAAAAATGAAGATAACACTTAGGAGCAAATAGGGAAGCAAAAGTAAACACGGGAGGTCTGATTAGTTATATATGGAATCTTTAGAGTGGATTAACAACCCATTTTTAATACATGATCGTTTATTCATTAAACAGTGAATTGTAGTAAACTGGAATTTGGATTGCAAAAGTTTGGGCAAAGGGGCTGAATCAGCAATATTATTTAACCCAGTTTTAGCTACTTTGTAGGATTTCAGACTAAGGCATTTCTTTTAAAGGGGCATTATAGTCACCAAAACAACTTTATGAAGCAGTTTCTGTGTATAGAGCATGCCTCTGAAGTTTCACTGCTCAATTTGCTGCCATTTAGGAGTTAAATCACTTTTGTTTCTGTTTATGCAGCCCTAGCCACGCCTCCCCTGGCTGTGACTAACACAGCCTGCATGAAAATAAAATGGTTTTATTTTCAATCAGATGTAACTTACTTTAAAAGTTTGTATCTTAATCTCTGTAGATTGAACTTTAATAGCATACAGGAGGCTCCTAAAGGGTCTAGCAAGCTATTAACAGAGCAAGAGATAAGTGATTCTAAATTAAACGGAATTGGCAATGAAGGAAGTGTAAACATTAGATGACTCTTTACAGGAAGTGTTTAGGAAGGAAGCCTGAGGCTTCGATTTAATAAACTTTCTGAATGATTCAATACTGTTAGAAATACTTTCCAGTTGATTTATGTACCATTAAAGCCTATGGGGAGTTTTGTAGATAAATCATTTGCAAAGCTTTCTAACAGTATTAAATCATTTTAAAAGCTTATTACATTTTTCAATCCTGTTTTCAATTTCCTGCTGTTTGCCATTTAGTGAATATGTATTATGTGAATGGTAAAAATGTAAACAAAAAAGCAAAAGGAAAGTAATATCCAAATGTTCATTTACTGGAGCAAATTCTCTGACTCTGAATCTATATGATTCTTTATCCAGGATGTGAAATATATCATCCTATCTTGGTTCCTGCTTAGGATTGTATGAGAGAGATGTTTCATAAATCTCTGCATGACATGGGCTTATGGAATCTGTAGAGCAGCCCTATTTTCTGCAGTAACTGAAAACAAATAAGGCTTGCTTGAAAATGTTGATTAAATGGACAAAATAATGTGCAAGAGTATCAATGTGTAGTGGTACTTACCCGGTCCTCGTGTCTCATGCCACGCACTCCTGCTTCCGAGCATGCCGACTTTTATGATTGGTCCTGCATCCCGCATGTTATAAGTCAGAATGGCGCTCGCATACAGAGCATGTTCTTAAAGGGGAAATGGGTGCCCCAGATCACTTCCTGCTCACATTGGTCCACGTCATACTGGTGCCCCCAAAACCCACGTAAAAGTATTTAAACTTTCTTGGCCTTATCTACTGTGCCCTACTGTGGTTTCTCTTCCCATTACCCTTTACTACATTCTTTGATTGATTGTGTATATTATGGTATTGACCTTGGCTTTTTGTTTCTCTGAGTTTGTCTTTAACTCTTTCCTGTCTTGTTTGCCTGTTTGACTATTACCATGTACCTGACTCTGGCTAGTTCAAAGTTTTCCCTGTCTCTCTGTCACCCTGACCTGATTATCAGGACGAACCAGTGACCCAACATGCAGAATTAAGTAAACCACGTAACAAATGCAAACAGTAACAACGTATTACCAGGCCTTAGAATGACCGGAATCAAGGTAATAGAATAAACAGTCATGAGCCAAGGTCAGAAATACAGAAAGAAACAATTACGGAAAGGACAAAGGCAAAGGGTCAGGGAAATCCGAAATACGGAAAGTCAAGTCAAGCCAAGATCAAAAACCAATAATCAGAATTAGGAACTTGCTCTCGGATAACCAACAGGATGGAACCCACTACAGGGCACTGAACAAATGCAGGTTTGGGTTTAAATAACCCAGTAAATCCTGCTATTGACTGATTTGGGTCCCATGACCCCAGTACGTGTGTGCATGGCGAAAACGTGATGCCACATGCATGTTCACGTCACTAGTGACATCATTGTGGGCAGCGTTGTTAATTAGCGCCGTCTTGTAGCAGCCGCCGTCCCTCCCAATGCTGGACTCGGCCGCCGTTCCACAAACAGCATTGAGGGAGAGGCTCTGAGGGTGAGTTGAGTAACCTCTCCCTTCTTTACTGCGACCAGGCCCGGCCACACTGTGGTGCCGATTGGGCACTGCGATAGTGTGACTGTACCGATTAGGTTCAGTCACACTGAGGTGCCGATCAGGCACCGTGACACTGGGTTTGCATTTTGGCTATGCTTTACTCTCTGTCTAATGTTAAGTCTGGCCACTCTAACGCCCGTATTGAGTTTATTTCCTTTGCCTATCACTTGCTATCCTAAACTCTGCGTGTTGGGGTTTTACCTTGTGACAAGATGAGGGTCATGATATAAGCATAAGATATACTGATGTAAGTATGATGTGGCAGAATCATGACATGTATGAGTTGAAGGAGGGAAACAAGCACATTGTTTATTTGGAGTCGTGAATATTACGCGGAGTAATTGAGATGGTCATGAATGGAATATTAGCACAATGAAGGAGATCCATCAAAGTGCTCTGTTCAAAATAATAGTTTTAAGTACTAAAAGAGAGAAAATCATCATGTAAAACAGTTGAACTAGCAGACACATTCCATTGATGACTCGTCCCCTTTGAAATTTTTGCACCACTTTTTAGAATAGAACACTTTGATAAATAACCCCAATGTGCAATAGGAAGTTGTGCTTGATATGAAGGGGTGCAGATGAATATAATATTTGGGATGAAAGCTTGACATAAAGTAAGGGACCTGGAAGAACTCAGTTATATCTTCTATATTATTTATAATGGAAATTGAAAATAATAAATGGAGAAATAATGACAGAAAAAGGATAGAAAAATATAATGAATCAGTTTGGAGGAACTGCTGTTGATGTAATTATCACACGGGGTATGTGCGACAGAATATTTTCATTAAACTCAGCAAATGTATGCAAACGCACAGCATAGTATCCATGTAAGGGAGAATTACCTGTTTGAATAAATGTTATAGATATAGAGCTAAACTACAGAAATAACCCCCTAGTACATCAAAAATGGATTTGTTAATATTATAACTATTTCATAATAGAAAGGTTGTATTGTTGCGTACAATGGTCCTGTGTTCAGTTATTGTAGCTTTAAATCTATCCCATTGCACTAATTCAACAAGTGAGTCACTATAATGATATAGATATTATTTCAAAGCCAGCATATTACATTTTAATGTTTGTTTTTATTATATGTATCACTGCTTTGTTGGAGGTGTTAATATTTGTGTTGGTTTCTTTTATCTGATTACACTGCCCAATGAACTTTCATTGGCAAGTGCTGTACCATTGCATGCCAAGTAACTTGGTCTAGAAGTTAATCTCTTTGTGTATAGGAGAAGTTTTTTATGTTATTTTAATTCTTTATTTCTTTTATTGTTAGAAGAGGAGTCAACAGACCAAGTGCAGGTATATATTCAGTCAGAACTAATGCGAATCCCGGACAGACAACCCCATCTCGGGCATTGCAGCAGGTAAAATAAGCAGATATTAGTATGCAGTTAAAGAAGATCAAGTGATACAGGATACAACTACAACGGGGAGAGAAGATTTCCTGGGTCTTCTAATTTGTGAATGTTCGCTAACTTATATACTATGCACCTGAGTTGTCATGAACCTGTGTGCCATCCTATCAAACCTTTTTTTAAAGTTTTTGAAGCATAGAAGAAACAAAGTTGGTAGTAGAAAAGTAGGGAAGAGAGTGAATAAGAAGGAAGAAAGAGAGATGGGAAGACTTTCCCTGAAGTATGGATTTGGGGCAACCACCACCTAGAGCACCATGTCAAATATCAATGCAAAACAGAGAAAGAGACATGCAACACGTGGGTGTCAGTAGAGCTTGCCACATTCAGAGGGGCCTGTAATCGGATGAACCATGACTTTTCTGTAGAAAACTTTTTTTTTATCTTGTTTTTTTTATCCAAGTTTTCACTACATAGGTCCCAAGGTCATATCTATGTATGATGACTGTTTGAGCTCATGTAGGCCATCCTTTTGTACGTACTGCTGAGGGACACCTGTCGTATTAACAACTCTTTCTTAGGAGCTGTTGTCAACTTCCAACCCCAGGCTATCAAAAGATTTGTGAATATCACTATGTGGAAGGTAAGCAACCAGGAGAATGTTTTTTTAATAAACAGCTCACAGTGAATTTTAGCATGCATTTCTAAAGTATTATGTAGATCAGAGTTCCTAATCCCTCGGTAGAGACCCAAAATTAGGTCCATATGTTGATTTAGTGGGTCACATATTCAGTGAAACAGACTCAGCACACTTCACCAGGTCTCATGCAAATGTACACAATATATTGTATATAGAGATATAAATACTTTCCATATCCAATGTAGGTCCTTCTTATACCGAAGAATTTAATGAAGATGCATTTTATAATTTATTACAGTATTTATTCAAATGTATAAATATGTGTAAGACAATATAAATTAATTAAAATTAAATAAACCCCTTTAGATAGAACTAGATCACATCCTGAGTCAGACAAAAAAAAAACATATAGCAGTATAGGTCAGGAGATATCGTGTTTCACATTTATCATGAAGTGGTAAAGAAAAGAAACAAACGTTTAGGGTAACAGTCACATCATCTGTTAGCTTGCTAAATGGCTCATTCATGTTTTTTTTCATGGATGGAGCTACTCACAGCTGTGCTTGTGCAAGGCTGCACAACAGACCTTCCCAGACAAAGCAACAGAATGAGTTACTTAACTTCAAGATTTTTTAAATCACTGCAGCCTATAATTCCATAGAATGAAGAAACTGACAGATTAGAGGTCTGAACCATTATTTTTATTATGATATTTATATAGTGCCATCAAATTCAGCAGCGCTTTACAATGGGTGGACGAACAGACATGTAGTTGTAACCAGACAAGTTGGACACACAGGAACAGAGGGCTTGATGGCCCTGCTCAATGAGCTTACCTGCTAGAGGGAGTGGGGTAAAATGACACAAAAAGGTAAGGATAGTATTAGACTAGTGACAGTTGCAGAAGAGGAATCAGTCGGGAGCTATTACCAGTTTAATTGATATGGTTTTATGAAGAAGTGGGTTTTTAACGATTTTTTGAAGGAGTGGAGACTGGGTGAGCATCTAACGGAGGAGGGAAGCGAGTTCCACAGGACCGGTGCAGCCCTCAAGAAATCTTGAAGGCGAGCATCAGAGGTGGGAGTACAGACAGAAGATAGACGTAAGTCTTCAGCAGATCGTAAGGGCCTAGACGGGACATACTTGTGTATAAGGGAGGATAGATAAGTGGGAGCAGCATTATGTAGAGATTTGAAAGCAAGAACCAGAATTTTAAATTGAGCTCTATATTTTATAGGAAGCCAATGTAGGGACTGACAGAAGGGTGAGGCATGGGAGGTGCGGGCGGACAGGAAGATGAGCCTCGCCACCGCATTCATTATGGACTGTAACGACACAAGTTGGGAGCACGTAAGACCACTGAGAAGCGGATTACAGTAGTCAAGGCGGGAAAGGACAGTGGAATGGACCAACACCTTAGTCGCATCTGGCGTTAATTTGGTGGCGGTTGCACGCAATGTTTTTGAGATGGAAATGACCATAAACTAAGAAACAACCCTAGGTTGCTACAGTATTTGGAGTGTCCATTCAATCCGTCAAATGAGCTTGCTGTGTATTTTTTGACTTGTGCATAGTGAACAAATTTGTTTTACTCAGACCACTTTGTCCAAAAATAAAAAAAAGTTTTTTGTAACAAACAAATTTTGGTTGTACTGCAGTTCAGCTCATCTAAATTTCGTTAATGAGAAAACAAACCAGACAAAACAAAAAGGTGTAAAAAAAAATGTACTGCTAAATATATACATAATAAAATAAAAATGTTTTTACTGTTGTTGGTACATTTTACCGCATTTTAACATAATTTGGTACACAAATCAAGTGAGAAAAAAAATATATACTTCTATATTATATATTTATTATGTAAAAATATATAAATTTATATTTTTTTACTTCTTTTTTTTTCCCATCAATTATCTCTTTTTTTGTGTGTGAAGACTGAAATTCCAAATCAAACGAACATGCTTGTCCTTTGTGCGATTCGTTTTGTTCATGATTCACCTGCATGTCAGCTCGGAGTTCGGGAATTTGTATAATCACTTGATCGGCCCAAATTTGGACAAATAACAAAATGAATCTCAAAGTTTAGTGTATTTTTTCTCTTCACAGAAAAGTTTAGAATCTCAAAGGTGAGAAAGTGTGATACTGAAACATCACATACATTTGACCAGATAATTTAAAGAAGTGCCATTTCTTAAAGAAATACTGCAAGCTATATGTGTTTTAATAAACCCTAAAGATCTCACAGTCTGCTTACATTATTTGCCCTTAAAAGACATGTTGTACTAGTCTTACTATGTTGTTTAACATTAAAAACATACTGTTTAAACATCATTTTAGATATGAACCATATTGTACTTAATTACAGTCTGGACAAATAATTAATATATAATTTTACACAATTTAACATATAATATAGAATCATTTAATATATAATTTTCATCATTTAATATGTAACATATTATATATATTATATCATTTCAAATATCATAATATATCATGTAATATATAATTTTACATCATTTAATATATAACATATAATATGTTATATCATTTCATATATGATAATATATAATTTAATATATAATTGTACATCATTTAACATATAATGTATAATTATTTAATATATAATTTACATCATTTAACATATAAAATATAATCATTTAATATATAATACAAAATCTCTCTCTAGGTAGAGAGGGATGATACATAAAGATGAGATTTGAATTATGAGAAAATAATACCATCAAGAGTTGTACTGAAGACATTATAATGGACAATGAGACTCAAGGTTGAATGGTTTAAATTTTTTTTCCAGAATTCTTAGATGATAACAATTTCCTTTAACTTGCTTTGTCATTATGTATCTTTTATAATACATGATATGTTAGGTTAAGGCTATTATTAGTGTAATGTAAGGTTTAAGGTTTGGTGTTGTGTAGGGGTTACGTTTTAGTGGTAGTGCTAATGTAGTGTTTCATGTTTAATTAGTGTTAATGTGTAGTGATATAGATTTCTACACAACAAAAAAATTTGTTTTGACTAAACAAAAATAAAATAGTGACAGCTGAATTTCGGCTATATGGTGGTTCGGCTCAGTCAAATTTCGTTAGGAAAAGATTGAAGAAAACAAATCAGTTGAACCAAAACATTCAGCTGCGTTTTGGCTCTGAGTTGTGGAATTCATGCAATCACCCAATCAGTCCAAATTAAAATTAATTACAATTCATAACAAAACAAATCTCCAAGCCTAGAGGTAAATGGGAGGTCTCTGAGTGACATCTTCAGTTGCAGTTAAAAGGGAGACAAGTGCCACTGACAAATGTCTGCCAGAATTCTAAGATCTCCAGACTGTACAGAGGTGATCCCTGCATTATTTCAAATTCATTACGTAGTATGGCTCCTTAAATGATTTCAACATCCATGCAGTACAAGATTCTGAAATATATATATATATACGCATACATTCCTAATGGATTAATCAGAAACACAATTTAAAACAAAAACACTCATCATTAATATACATGGAGAAAACAAATCTAAACTCAATGTAATTTGCACCTGGCCTCCGTAGCCTCACTTATTAAATTAAGATCAGGCATTTCAAATGCACACACAGATAGATGCAAATAAAAGACAGGTGCAATTAAATGGATTCATGCAGATGCTGATTTGATGTAAATGGATTACTCATAGACACACCCACGACCTGCAGGCAGATCATGTTTTCTAAATCCAGTGCAAGATACTTTTTTAGTGTTTTTCTTGATGTTCTTAAAGGGACACTGTAGGCACTTTTACAACTTCATTTTACAGTTCGGTCCCCCCTTTCCTACCCTGCAAAACCATTTAGTTCTCTAATTAGAGGGCTTGTAAGCATGGCCCTCTGGATATAAGAGCCAGGAATCTTACCCTCATATCGTGACATCACAAGCGCATCACCGTGCATGCGCCCAAGGTCACCAATGCTCTCCTATAAGGAACATTAGATTGGCCCATCACTCTGGAGGCATGCTTCCAGGATGAAGCAAACCAAGGAGGAGGAAATTAATCGCTGGAAAAAAGGTGAGTAATTAGTTTTATTTCTATTTATTTCATTTTGTTCTTCTTTTACACAAAGGGGAGACCTAATTGAAAAGGAGCATCAGGGCTTTAGCGTTAGGAATACAGATGTATATTCCTAACACCACAGTGTTCCTTTAACATTGGTTTATTACATGCGGCACACACCTTACAAGGAGCCCACACAGAGCGTTAGCTAGAAAATTCAGTTCCATAATTGAAATTCAGTTCAGCCTCCAATTTATTGTTTGTTTAAAAGTAACCTAGCACTAGAATTATGTAGCTTTAAATGCACCCATGACTATTGTGTTATGGATTTGAGTTTCATATTTGTGATAGATCAACAGAATAAGCTTCACACAGCTAAATATATTGTCAGGATTCCCAGGATCTTTCATCTAACACTTCCTTTCACGTCTGCTCATACAAAATATAACTTGAAGTGGTTATTTTTCAGACTTCCAATTATTAGTAGGTTCTAAATTCCGCACTTCATTTTTTTTCAGCACTCTACTTTTGGGGTGGTACATGAGATAATTGCCCAAGAACTTTTTTTTTAATTTATGTGATTTCCATAATGTAGTTAAATGCTATACTTTGTCACTCTAAAACAAGAAACTAAAAGGGTTAAATGAACACTCAAAGCACCATAACAACTACAGCCTGAATCCTCCAACAATAAGTAGTCAAACCATAAGAATTGTTAGTCAACTTACCTGGTTCCAACCGAGTGCCTGCCATTGCTTCCTCTGATATCAGAAGTTCTAGCACTGTGCTAAGCCCAGCATTGCAGGACCTCACTTATTGGCCGAGAGTGCTCAGCTGATATTGTTAGCCAATTAGGGGGCCATGCACAGCAGGGATTAGCTCCGTGGAACTAATAGAAGCTATTTGCAGGAGCTTCTGGCTCCAAGTGAGCCATGATACGCACCCCAGATAAGTTGTCAAACGGTTCTTAAATGGTTTGACTACTTACTGTTTTGAGGGTGCCAGTGCACTGAAGTAGGCTGTAGTAGTTATGGTGTTTGGAGTGTCCATTTAATGTAGTAAAAGCTTAGTTACTAAGTAGAGTGGGGTTTTATGGAACAGTAATTAGCATTTGGACTGTATGTTAAACGTTATAAATTAGTAGACCTGCTTCAGTCACATGCAGTACATATCTCACATTATAGTCAGATTTCTGGTTTCTTTGAGGGGTTAATTCACCAGGTGTTGGGGTTTAATTGGGGAGTTTGTCTCTTATTGCACATTTATGGTTCTTTTCTACTGTGAACTGAGGAGGGGGCTGAACTGTAATACTGATGTGTTTTTCCGTACTGGCACTTTTTCCATTCAGTAGAGCTATAGGATCCAGCATGGGGTACGACCTGCTGTATTTAACAATATCATTGAGTATTTTTATGGAAAATTAAAAAAAAAATAGTGAGCAAAACTGCAGTTACTGTTGGGATAAGAAGTTGTAGTTAGAATTCCTTGCACATAGACTATCAAGGAAACACCTGCCAGTAGGCAAACTTCTCAATAAGGCAGATTTGCATAATTTCTTATAGGGAAGATTTGTGAATAGACACTGCACACTAACGTTTAGTCATTACGCGCAATTAAACATTTTTCAAATATGTTTGAATGACTAATTTAAGTGCAATAATAGAAAGAAATTTAATTTGAATTGGAAAATTCTAGTCGAATAATTAAGACAGTCAGCAATTACCTCCAGATTAAGAGCAATGACAAATGTTCCTTGAGGGCGCCAGATCCATCCCAGCATTGCTCGTTATAGAAGAAAGAGGTGTAATATTCTCCAATGTTAAATAGGTCTGCTCTTTAATAAATATAGACTCAAGGGAAATCCTTCTTCTAAATGTACGTTGTCTAGCATTCATTTAACGGCCTGGTCTGAAAACCCATATGTGAAATTATTTATTCTATTTATGAAGGATACTGCCACTCTTTTCATTAAGTCATCATTTTAAGGTCACCTTGCTATTCAGTCTTGTATTGCTGGAACTACTTGTGACTTATGTT